ACTGAGCGTAAACAACTCCCCCGCAGTAAGCTCCTGGCCTTGAGAATTGGTTAGCCAGTGAAGCCAGACAGGGGGTGACCTTGAACGGAGGTTTTGATAATCTGGGGCGTGTGAGCAAAGCATGACTAGGAAATACAAGGTCGCTACAATACTCCCCCTCCCAGGAGAACGGAGTTCAAAAATGTTAATGTAATGAAGATGTGCGAATGTTAAGGATAGAGTACAAATTGGTAACGGTCACAAAAATTCGTACCAAATAGAATCAGTGTAGAAAATGGTGTATAGATAATAATATAGCAAAGTTGTGGATAGATAAATGTATAACAAAGGACTACCACATAACGAAAAAAAATTTTTATCGATTGTGTAATGTTTACAACGCATGCCAGTAAGTCGACAAGTTGATAGGAGGATAGTGTATACCGATTTTTCCCCTCTCCCCTCCCCTCTACCCCAGCGCAAGGACCTGCACACGCCGATCTTGTCATGCGGGCGGCGTGAAAATGATGAGTTGTAATCAAAGTACACTTACTAACCATGTCCATCTGTACGATTTTCATTATCCCTGCAATTTTACTGGCCTGGTTCTGAACTGCTGAAAACATATGCTTGACAAATTAACTTTTCAAGAAGCCAATGTATAACACAACAGGCTGGTGCGCTGACCACCAAAGTCTCTTAATAACGCCGCTTCGTTTAGTAAATGATTGTAGTTGCTGTTTTAGAAGACAAAACTAACCTCTTGTCACGCTTTACTCAATTAGGGCTCCATGAACCTCCAATTGCGCTGTGCATAGGCCTAATTATGCACTGCTCGAATCATTTACCTGCTACTAAAATCAGCGCTTTTGGAAGACAGTCTTTTTAATCTGCAACGTTTTTCTGAGAGCCCATACTTCAACGAATTTCTTTTCCCCTCTCCCAAGCTGCTTCAACAACGATTCGAGCATGTAAAACCTCTGCTGGACTTAATACGCTGGTGGGGTCAACTGTTCGACGACTGGTGGTCCTGGAAAAATCCTCTTCACTCCATATTTGGACTGATATGCTATCAGCTGCTGATCTACAACTTCAAGGTCTACTTCATCCCTCTCTACATGATTATGATTATGCTTAAAAACCGATTCTACTCCCCCACCATCGACGTCGTTCAGTATGGCATAAAGACCAATAAAAATGTTGCCCGGCTGGCGTCAAAACAAGAACACGAAATCTACAAACGACAGTTTGATTTATTGGAACAGCTGCAGAAGGAGACCGACGGGGCAGAAGAGGACAATCGTTCCGATGCCCAGCCTTATTCTCCGGATATCGGGTCGACTGCTATACAAAACCATACCGAGGTGAGTTAGTGTCCTTATGTGGCGATCACTAGCCCGTTCTTTTGTTGGATGGGAGGACTCTGGTAGAATTAAATGTGCTACCCTTTCTTTGAGTACTGCTTGTGACCATTTCCTGTTGGTCATCAGCCTGCGCTGAGACTACACTCAGTGTTGCGACCGGCGGAGACGATGTTAGTGCAACATTTGTCGGTTCGAACAAATGCTCGTAGCACACTAAGTAGCGGGCGAACAAGTACCTGTGTAGCGTCCATCGCCTACTCAGTCTTTTAGCAGTTTTCTCAACCTTTCCCTAGAATTAAGTATTCTAGGTTAGCCTATAGAAAGCCTCCATCTTTGAGGAAGCTCCGCTGGTTCCTAAAACAGCACAGAACAGCCGGTAAGACCCGAAAATCGAAATCCGTCCTCCCCCGTCCCCAATTCCAGGTGTCGTTTGTCATTTTCCAGGGAACTAGGGATTAGCGCCAAGGTCATGCTAAAGAGTAGGGGTATCGTTAAGATAATCATGGTCAATTTCGTGGTTTAGGAATCTTTCTTATGATTTAGCACAAGGGGTTCCTATTCCCGGTCCATTCCAGTCTAAAATGTCCTTTCTCTCTTCACTTGACCAATTTATGATTGGAAACAATGACCGTTCTTCCTTTGCACTGTAGGCTAATGACCGGGGCAGTTACCTTGAAACGTACCAACTGGCAATACCTGATTTAAGCGTAAGTTTTATGGCGCTTCTGCTTATTACCTTTATATTTGGAGGGTTCAGTGCTCCCCAATTTTACCATTTCGTTTCTTTTCATGTGTAGTTAAGGTCTTGGCACGTCTGAAATAAATAGCGAAGACATTCGTAGCTTCTTGAATGTGAAAACAAATGAACATTGCACTGCAAGCTGAAAACCCAAAACATGACCCTAATAAATATACTGCCTTGCGTAGCAAATGTCAAAATGCCCGATTGCATAGTCTAGACATACGTTTATTGGTTTTGCCGACTGAAGCGAAAAGGCAAGTTCCAGGAAGGGGCTGAGGGAATGGAGACACGACGGCTGGAACAAGGGCTTTTGATAAGAAGACGACTCGATCGCTGGGACAATACATTTATTCGCCTGACGTTTCGACATCCGTCGCGGATTCATCATCAGAGGCATGAATAGGAAGCAGTAGCAGAAGCGGGTGATGCATGCACAGAAATTTGCAGTACTTATAGGATACAGTCATTACTGAAAACATACAGCGACAATTAACGTTAATTGCCTTCTTGCGCGTGGATGGTTTGTTGGACGGCACGCGGGCTCTGACCTGTTGAAGTTTCATCACGGGCGGTGGACTCGGGCATGATGATTGCTCGGCCACCTGGCCCTCCGGTGTTGGCGTACGATGACGTGATGGCCTGTCCGTTCCCCAAGTGGCGACTTGCTTTGGCCAAATTGAGTCTCAGTACCGATTATGGATTGGACAAATCGTTGCACTTGTTTAAGGATTGGGGCCCGTGAACCAGGACTCAG